CTACCCTATCCACAATCAAAAGTCATGTACAAAAGATACATGACTTATATAACCCACAATCAAAAGTCATGTACAACGTTATTATTATCAGCACTACATTCCTTATGTACAAAAGATACATCAACACCCAACTTTATGGAGGAATAGGCTTCCATATTGCATTGCATGCATAACCCATGCATACTTTAGTAAATAATTTTACGTTCATTTCTTGTTAATTATTTAGATTCAAAATATTAAACTGACTGCTAAAATATAATAAATATATTGTTTGTTTGAAAAAAATCAAGATTGTAAATCATATTTGAAAACTATCATTTTTGTTGAATATATATCTTAATGGGTAATGGGTTATCCTTTTTTTTGTTGATTAAAAGTAGAAGGGTTAACATATTTATCCCGTTCAATCTTGTATAATGTGACTGCTGAAAAAACCAGTGAGATAATTAATTTATAATACAATGATATTTGTTTTCAAAAACAAAACTGATAATTATATGAATCCAAAAATGAAGTACTAGGGAAATTGTATTTAGACACCAAAATGAAAGATCAAAAAGAGTGTGACCTTTCTCTGTCATATTTTGGAAAAGAAACGTGGCACACAAGAAGGCTAGGAGGTCCACTTTGTCTGTCCTTGATGACGTGTCGTTCAAAGTCGTTCGAGATAAGGATTGTGGAAGGCATACACCCACGCGCCACGGCGAATTTATGATTAAATAGTTATTAGACGTCACTAATCACTCCCTGTTCTTATCTAATAGCGTCATTAGCACTCCTAAATTGGACGATTAAGTATTTGTTTACTACATTTATCAAGAACTACGCACGCTGAGTTCATATTGGACACACGTTTCTTGAATCCGATTATTAGATTACTAAAAGATTGGACGGAACGTTCCAGTAAAGTAAGACAGAAGGGGGGGGGGATCAAATTTATGACCATTACCAAGATCGGGTAACTTATATTAAATAATGGGGATAATGTAGAAAGATGAATTCAAAGCAAAATAACAAGAGAGAAGGAGACTGTTTTTTTATATCACGTTTTTTGTAATGTATATTTATTGTTTTCTGTTTATAACTCTCTCTAACACAACTATTTATTATGGAAAAGGGCCAAAAGGCTGAAGATACAAATCACACAGTATAAAGGCATATAAAGGCTTATGATGATGATAATTATCTTTTGATGAGGCCAAAACAAATATTCATGTAATGGGGAATTTAGACAAATGGTTCATTAAGTGGCTATTATTGGCCATTTTTCTTCTCATCCGTAAGATTTGTAATGTGTAGTCTGATTAGTTTTCATTTCAGGCTCAAATCGTTGTTCTTATCAATATCAGTAGGAAAAGCGCTTTAACTTTGCTTGCCTGGAGAATGCTTATTTCGTGAATCAAGTAGGTTTCTAATTAACACAAAAGGGATAAGAAATAGACCAACGGCCACTTAAGTCTAGTATTGTGATCATCTATGGCAGCTTACTGAGATCATTTCCTTCAGTCTCCTTTACATTTTGAAAGTTCATTGTTAGTTTTGCTATCTATCTGTGGGTAATTGGGTGTCAAATACTCAGACTCGGATTGCGTTGACGTTTGTGGATGGCTTGTTTGAGAATAGAGTTAAGATTTTGAGTTATGGAGATGGGTCTTCTAGGGTATGGGAAGGTCCATTTCTTGTGGTGATGTATTAATTTGTGGTGCTTATTGATACAATGATGAATGCTTATCGGTCTTATAGTATGGAGGCCGGGAAAGCTCTTGAATGCGAAACTCGGCCCATTATGGAAACTGTGTCTCAAGATTTGTCTCTTCTCTAAGAATGTCATTTAGTTTCGATTTATTTATTTTTTGGTAAAGATTCGATCTCTTTGGCTGCCCATCCTTGGGAGATGTTAACGTGTTAAATCATACTTGATTCGTTTAGGCTTGGAAACGTAGCTTTGATGTCGTATCAATGGAAAGGGGATGAAGTTTGCTTGTCCTCCTAAAGAGTCATAAGGTTAAACATAGCTTTTTGTTTACCCGAACCAAAGCCCTCAAGTACTCCTACTCCCCCCCCCCCCCCCC